CTCTTTTACTAACGAATAGTGGGATTGACCGCCACATTATAACGCCCCCACGGTTGAAAGGGCGAGCATGATGTGACGGGGATTCGAACTCGCGACCCGCAGATTGTGAGTCGAGCGCCCTAACCACCTGGCCATGCCGGGCCGTATCTCTCAAATATCAGGATAAATAAAAGTGTGTGATATTTAGCTGATGTAACTGTTAAAACAAAACAAAGACAAATAATCCAATATGCATAGTACATTGTATTATACAAAGACAGTTCTTGTAACGAGGAGTTCAGGATTGAGTCAAGTGGAAAACAAGTTAGATGTATGAAAATCTATATTTAACAATATTTTGTATTTAAACTTCCCTTTCTTTTAAACTTTCCCCGAATAAATAGTTATATAAGGTTGATTATGATAACATCTGTGCTATGCAAGGCGTACTAGTTTGTTTTGAATTTTGCGCAAAGTTACTCAAGGAAAGTCTGTTCTAGCCGTCCGTAATTTAGCAGTGATAGGCTAGAGGGAAGGCAGTTGGTCAATACCACCCACCGCCAACTCTTGGACCGATGAATAGTGGGATTAACCGCTACATTATATCTCCCGCACAGCTGAAATGACGAGCATGTTCGGTGCCGGAGATTCAAACCCACGACCTACAAATTGCGAGTTGAGCAACCTAACCACATACTACATATTTTATATATTCCCTTATTCAATATAACATTTAAAAGAATTTTATACATACTGTGCATGTGTTCTTAATAAAGAATGTTACTCAAGGACGTAGGCAAGCTCCGTTCACTCTAATCATCTACATAACTGGGTCATTCAACTTGGATATTACATATAACTTCTTGTATAAAGATTTCCGTGTAATGGAACATGCTATGTAGAAATGGATAGTGATCTTTTCAATTGGCAGGGCAGGTATAACTTCCTTAATTTTGCAGTGAGAATGACCACTAGTCATATGGTTAGTGCCTGCATTCTGAAAAGAATAGCATTATTGTTTCATGTTTATAATGCTATGGTTTTTCAGCCTGGAACATAGTCAACAGATTTGACTTCTTAAAGATTTTTATTTTCTGAGAGCTCTCCATGAAATACACTTTTTTTGAACTTGATGATTTATTTGAGTATTAAATCAAGATTGTTTTTCTATGTTTTACATTATGCTCAGTCTCTTTCTTTGTTTCGCACCCAGACGAGATCAGGGAATTTAGATTTACTCCATAATACATTTTCTATTGAAACCTCCTGTTATTCAGTGACTCCTACACGATTATCCAAAGGGGAAATCAATGAACTTAAGAATACCACATCTATTAAATACGACATAAAGTAATATTGGCCACTAAATTTCAGTCATTAATGTTTATGGTTTCTAAATAGTGTTATTTGAATACCTATTATTGAATATTTCTTCTAATCTGTATAAATATGTGTTACGGCAATTAAAGCTATTTGATTTCTTATTTATTCCATTTCACTTCAGTTATAACGATTGGTTGAGCTTAACAACTGATGAAAATAACCCCATAATCTTTATCATTAGTTTTTATTTCGACATATTGATTGAAAACTATTATTTCTTGACACTTCCTTTCCCATAAAAATACTAAATTTATGTTTTTCTCAGCGCAAACAAATATAACGGTATGAACGCTAGACCTGATTAACATTTAATAAGAAGAAAAAAAACAATTAGCTTACGAGATTTACAAATGCATGAATTATATGTATATATTCATATAATTTGACAATTCATATTTTGGATCTTACCTTTCATATAGCAATTGTTTTTTATTCATCCTTTCAACTTTTACAATTATCTAAAATTACTTGCTCTTCAAAGAACCGGTTTCGCAGCTTTCACTACTCTTCAGTTCTATCTTTCTTCACGCTGCTTCTTTTCACCAATCATGTACATTGATGTGTTGTAAGGCAGATAAAAAAAAAATCTATCTACCTATCATATCCGCGAATTTCAATTACTTGGAAGCGACAGTCATAAAGTGGATCTAATACATCATACTCCATGTTCATCGAATATACATGTGATCTTACGTTAGTAAGTTTAGCTAACATGATTCAGAAAACAAATCTTCCCGTGTATTTAATGATTAGAATAATATTTATTTATTATTCTGGTAATCGACTCATCTTTCGGAAAACTTAATGATAATAGGAATAATTTATTACACGTTCCGGAATCATCGAATTTCCATCATCTGTAATCTAGTGTTGTAATTACAAATATTGTTTGTTTGTTTTGTACCTCTAGATTAGCGATGATGGAACTTTGATAATTCCGGAACGTGTAATAAATGCTTCCTATTATTACGTTCGTGTTTTGCTTTATCATTATACTGGTAATATTGTATAAACCTACCTTCAAACGTGCTTTACAATAAGAAAGAACATTCCATTTACGTACAAATATTGTAAGAAAGGATGATCATTCAGCTGACGAATTAGGAAAAGGAGATTGAAATTATGTAGAAAATGTTAGGACTAAAGCCTTGATCTAACATCCAAAAGTATTAAGTGATCGAGCTTTTGTTGTTACTTTAGAATCCGAGTTAATGAGTTTAATATAAATATGAATAAAAAATTTTCACCTACAAATACTGGCCACCTCGATGGGTCAACGGGTAAGCTTGTGGCTTATTATGCTACAATTCGATACCCACAATGATCACAACGCAGATAGTCTATAGTGAAGCATTGCGTTTAAAACAAACAAAACAAATAAGATAAGTTATTTAATAAGTTATAACTTGAACCTCTAAGCGCAGCAAATGTCAAAAATCTACAAGTTCTAAGTCTTGTAGCCTCATTTGAGATTTTGATATAGGTATAAAACTAGACGTACGTACGTTGAACAAAATTTGAACGTGAGGCTGTGTAATTGTAACTTTTAAGTATATTGTTACGGTTATGTAGGAAACGGTAATACGTGGGAGCTTTGTTAATATGGTAATTATCATACTATATGCAAGAAAAGAAATCTTACTTGAAGTCAGCGTGTAAAAATAGAGACGTGGTATCTTTTTCTGCTGTGAAGGCTATATTTTTTGTTCAACCTATTCAGGAAGATCTCAGTAACGATCTCGGCAGTAGTCTGCACTTTTAGTTCGATTTCCCAATTGGTTGATGACATCTTTTTATGAAAAGATATAGATTATTTCCAGTGTTTAGATAACCTGTCCCGTTCGTAAATTGAATTGAGAATTTCTGGATGTGAAGTATTCTGCAAAAAATAGAGTTATAATAAAGAAAATTACTAATATGACATGTTGTGGTAGTTAGTTGTCACTAATGGGGATAATAGTTGTTTACATAATGTTAAGATTATTTTGTATAATAGTTGTTTACACATTGTTAAGAGTATTATGTATGATAATTGTTTACACATTGTTAAGAGTATTATTTATGATAATTGTTTACTCTTTGTTAAGGAGTATTGTGTATGATAATTGTTTGCACATTGTTAAGAGTATTATTTATGATAATTGTTTGCACATTGCTAAGAGTATTATTTATGATAATTGTTTACACAATGTTAAGGAGTATTGTGTATGATAATTGTTTGCACATTGTTAGGGAGTACTGTGTATGATAATTGTTTGCACATTGTTAAGAGTATTATGTATGATAATTGTTTGCACATTGTTAAGAGTATTATGTATGATAATTGTTTGCACATTGTTAAGAGTATTATTTATGATAATTGTTTACACAATGTTAAGGAGTATTGTGTATGATAATTGTTTGCACATTGTTAAGAGTATTATGTATGATAATTGTTTGCACATTGTTAAGAGTATTATGTATGATAATTGTTTGCACATTGTTAAGAGTATTATGTATGATAATTGTTTGCACATTGTTAAGAGTATTATGTATGATAATTGTTTACACGATATCAAGAGCATTACGGATGCATGTATTACTTTTGTGAGAAAAAAGACTATTTGAACTCTGCAGATGAATTGCAAGTTAGAAATTGAAGGAATTCCTATTGGTTAAACTGAAATTACTTTTACACGCCCTGCCGGAACCAGATACCCTGAACTAGTGGAAACATGTTTGGCATTGTAAATTTTTTTCTACATGCTTTATGTCTAACACTTGATGCAACTCCAATGATATTTGCTTTTGCTTACACGGGATTAGAAATGTTTCTACGGACAGAGCGAGAGCTTCCTCACAAAAGCTTACTTTTCAACTCGCCCCCTGTAAGCACGGCGACGTTCAAAGAAAAGCATCGAAAACAGCTATTTGTAAATAGGTGAATGAAACGAAGTGATTTATATTCATAGACTTTCACCTAGAGGGGACAGAAAAGGATATTTTTGCAAAATTGAAAATCTACCGCTTGTGAATTTTACGCAGCACATAGGCAAGTAAGGTGATATGCTCTAATAATCTTATAACTGTGTGTTTAACACGCTTTGCCAGTAGTGTATATCAAGCGTTATTAATGGAATACATACATACGAAATTGAGGTAATGTTCAGCATTAACCACGTTAATGAAGAACTGTGTTTGTATTTGCAGAGAAAAATAATTAATTTTCCAGCTAGTAAGTGTGTACTGTACGCAATATCTTATTTATGACGTTTGCAAAAAAATAGATATTACTCCATTCTTTTGTTTTGACGGACGGTTCATCTGATAGATATCATTGGAAGGACATTCCAAAAACATGTTATAAATAAATTCATTTTGAAGCATAATAAAACTTTTGTTCTGCTAGTAATAGTGATTAAAAATCATTAGCTTTACAATGAAAAGTAAAACTGATTTAGTAAACGTTTAGACAAACCACGTTCTGTATTATGGACTATTTGTTGAGATATCGTAGCTCGTAAACAAAGTAATGCTGAAATATGCAAAAAAAGAAAACATTTTGTAACATTTTATTACAATTAAAGTAACTTTTTTTAATTGAATATCGTGCGCCATATAATCCGGTAGTCCCTATACTGGTGTGTTCGAACGAGATGGTTTCAGAAAGGCCTCAGCACATGCATAAATATTATTTTTAACACATCCTTGTCACTGAACAAAGCAAACTTTTCAGCAAGAATTTTATTGATTGTAATAAATATGAATACTCAACGTTGCTTGAGACGTTTTTCAAAAAACAAATTGTAATGAAAATAAGGTACTTCAGAGCGGTTATTATTTAAAACTAGCAGAGGCCCGCCAAACATTTGCAGTCAAATTAGTATCTTAATTGCAACTGTACTTCTTTAACTACATTATTTCTATAATAATTCAAAAGAATTCTAATCGCAGACGCCAACTTGTCTTAGGCCTAATATTAGTCAATCTTTTATTTAGTATAGCCTATATTCGACAAAGAGATAAATTAATATT